CTCGAGTTCATTTACTTGTTTGCTCTGATTTCTCTCTAGTTATTTCTCGTAATAACCATTCGGATAAGCTACCCTCGGGTACACTATCCATCAAAACCCTATTATGTCAATCACCCCCTCCAATGCTTCTCTTCCTACACTAGCTTACATGTATAAATTCATTTAGTTCACTTAACATTAATGTCTAGTATAATTAGTCCCCTTTAGACATATGTAATGGTTCAATCATTGATTTATGTTATACTTCTCTCTTTAACTTATTAACTTTGTTTTTTTTCTACATACCGCTAATAGTATTCTAGCGCAGCTATCATAAAATATCTTAGATTTTAAAAATGGGATGGAGGGCAGGAGCCGGGAGTGGACAATTCCGTTTTGATTCAGCTTTTATCGGTTTTCAATTTTAGTTTGAAACGGATTGTAAAAATGATTACTACATAAAAATCATATTTTTTACATTAATTATATTTGATCCAATTTAGTATGAATTGGTTTGATTAAGAATTATTGTTTTTAATAATATCAAAATTTTATTGAATTTTCTAATTACGACCGAATTATTTCTACTTGATTTAATAGGACTTGTCAGAAAGATTATATTAGCATTATTAATGTCAAACCTAATTCTACAATGCCATTTCGTTCAGTAAAACCGACCCCATCCTCTAAGCCCACAGGTTATACCCAAATCGGCTATATTTGGCTGATTTTACTGAAATTTATGATGTTTTGATTGAAGTGACTAGATTAGCTGATTCACCTATTTAAGAAAAAACTATATTTTGTTAATATATAAAAAAAAATTTAAAGAAAATAGTTCCCGTAAAATAGTTCCCGCATTGACGACTTGGATCAAGGTTTAAAAAAGTGAGAATAAAGTGGAAATGTATGTTTGTGGTTGAGTAAGAAAAAGGTAAATAAATGTGAGTCAGACTGTCCAAAAAGGGAATGAAATGGATTTTTTTTTGGAATAGCCCAAAAAGAAAACCGAGAACTATTTTGCGGATCGGAGGGGGTAAGTAACTTCAATCGAAGCAGTCAGAAAATTAACTTCAACTTTATTTTTTTTTGTTATTAGAGATTAGAGAATTCAGAGAAGTTATTTTGAAATAACTTCTCCAACCATTCTTCTTGTACCCACCCTTGTACACATAATGCTTGTGAAATGTTTTTTTGTCTATTAATCCGGTTCAGATACAAAATTTGTCTTATTTTGCCCGTGCAAATTTTGCATAAACAAAATAAGACATATTTTGTCTGGAATTCATGAGCATAATAGTGCATGGGTACAAATATCTTTTTTGTTGTAATAATGGTATACTACGTACATAGTACTAGTATATGACAAAAATTAGGATGGTAAAAAATTTTAAGAGTGGAGCTAGGTGTACGAGTTGTCTGTCCACAGAAAACTCGTCTTCAGACAGACAATTTGTTTGTGACGGACAGACAAGTGTACAATTTTGTGTACGCAAAGTATTTTCGAAATTTTAAAATTGAGCAGCCCTTAAAATTGAGCAGCCCTGGTGACTGTAGATGCCTTTTGCTACACGTTTCATACACGCCTGGTTTTTTTTCTTTGAATAGGCTTCCCACACAAAAAAGTTTTTTTGAAAATTGAGATAGTTTACAGGGGAGTAGGAGTATGTTATAGCCTAATTATTGGAGTATCATTTGGTCGGGACTCGGGAAATGATCTTTCAACGACTTCATCGTGACTGCAACCTTCTTCTTGGCACCAAGATTCTAACTTTCGGCTCAATCGGCCGGCGATGATTCAATCAAGAAAACAGCTCCGAGTCATGATCGCCGGAAAATTAAAAGATAAAGCGTCGCTGATCAAGGCATCTCTCACGGCGAAACGAACAGTTTCATCAATCAGGGTCGCCATCATTAGAGCCACCACCCACACCTCCACATCTCCGCCCCCGGAGCACCGCATCGCGGCTCTCCTCGACTTCGGCGACCGGTCTCCGGCGGTGATAAGCGCCTGCGTCGGTGGCATCATGGACCGCCTCCACGGGACCCACAACCCCTTCGTGGCCCTCAAGTGTCTCTACGTCATCCACACCCTCATAGTCAAGGGCTCCCTCTCGTTCAAGAACCATCTCTGTTTCTATCCCGGCGGCGGCCGTAATTCTCTCAATCTTTCCAACTTTAAATCAAACTCCGGCGCCGGCGCCGGCGCCGGCGCGCTAGAGTTATCCGCGTGGGTGAGATGGTACGCCGGCGTAGTAGAACAGAGCATAACGACGTTCAGAGTTCTTGGTGACAATTCATACGTTTCTTGCTCCTCGAGAAGATCGATAAACTTCGAAAATATATACCCGAAGAATCTTGAATATTCCGGCGATGATAAGGAGATGGAATGTTTGGTCGGCGCGGTGGAGGGAATCTGCAGAGCGCCGGAATCTTTGGACTGGCGGAAGAACGACGTCGTGCATGAGGTGATGAGCATGGTGGCGGAGGACTACCGGTCGGCTCAGTACCGAGTCCTGTTGCGGCTCGGTGAGTTGCATGAGCGAGTTGGGAAGCTGAGTTACGCGGAGCTGACCGAGTTGCGGTCCTGGTTGGAGCGGCTGGAGAAGTGTAAGGAGAGGATGGTGGAGCTGTTCATAAGGCGGCGGAACGGCGGGTTCTGGGAAATGGTCCGGCGGACGAAGGCGGAGGTTGAGCGGGTGAAGGAGGAGTGGGAAATGCAGAGCATGGTGTTGTGGAATGGCGATGGGGGAAAGTGAAGTCAACGCGGTGGGTGGACGTGTTGAATGGGTCATAAAGGAGATGGACATTTTTGCCATGCATATGTGTTGATAGTCAACGGCAAGATTTTGCACAAAAGTTTACACAATTGTTAAGATTTTAGATATAACATTTTGATTTTGAACAGATTCATATGTCCCATTATGACCATATTACAATGTATATCGTAGAGTTTCTTTCCATGTATATTTTCATAATAAGAAAATGTTTGAATTCCCAAGTAAAGAATGAATGGTTCAAAGTAGAATGTTTATCAATTATCATGTATAAAACATTCATTAATTTTACTTTGGGCATTCTAAGTAATCTTATCCTTTTAGAGAACTAAATAAAACTCTTTAACTCTGATTTATTATATTGGTTCATGTTAGCCGATCTGCCACTCTTTTGGGACTAAGGATGTTTTCTTTTGGACTGAAATTTGTTGGTTTGGTCTGGTGTAGTTTGGTCTGATCTGTTCTGGTAAACGTCAGGTCTCTGTGTATTTTATAACTACGGAAGTCTGGTCTGAGACAGAAAATAGTCCAAAAGAAAACATCATAATTATTCTTTCAATAGAAACATTAGAAGTTTAGAACTAAATAAGTCATGTTGAGACATACTTTAGTATTCATGGACCGGTCCCGGGCGGGGCCAAGCTCCGGGCCGGTCCTGGGCGGGCTTTTTGGGTTTGGCTTCAGGCCCGGAACCGGCCCGGGTTTCCACCGGGTCCGGGCCGGGCTGGTCCCCGGGCTTCTTCAATTTTTGTTGTTGTTCTAGTTAACCCCTGACCCCCCCCCCCCTCACCCCCCCAAACCCCTCCAAAACACCCAGCCCAACCCGGGGAAAAAAATTGAAAAAAAAAGGCCCGAACCAGGTCCAACCGGGCCGGTTCCTATTTTTGATGACCCGAGCCCGCCCTGTATAACCTCCGGGCCCGGCCTGCCCGGACCGGTCTCTGTCCGGGCCACCAGGCCGGGCCGGTTCCAAACAATGTCGGGCCGGGCCACGGGCCGATCGGCCCGGAACTGATGTCACTTGGATCTCTAACTGAACATCATCTATTACAAACTTTACAATTTGAAAATTTAATAGTTTTGGTATCCCTGTCAAAATTTATAAAACAAATCACAGCCGTATTAGGGTTGGTTTGCAACTCCTTTTAAAAAAGCACTTCTCAACTTTTATTTAATCACTTCTCCCCATTTCATTAAAAAAAACACTTTTTTAAAAGCAGAAGTTGTTGCAAACAGACTCTTAGTTTTACCAATCCGATCAGTATGTTTAAGGGATCCAAATGACAATTTCCCTCTTTTTAGTCCATAGTTTAAATTTTCTTCTCCTTTTCCTGGACGATACTAGGGTTGGACTCGGGCCGGGCGGCCCGAACCGGGACCGCCCCGCCCCGGTCACTGTTTGAACCGGCCCGGCCCGGCGGCCCGGCCCATGGGCGGTTCGGGTCGACCTGGCCCGGTGGCTACCAGTTCCGGGCTCGGGCCTTCATTTTGGTGAACCGGCCCGGCCGGTTCGGGCCCAGCCCGGGCTGGATTTAATTGTTTTTTTTTTGAATTTTTTTTTAAGTTTTTGGGTTGGATTGGGTATTTTGGGCCATTTGGGGTGGTTTGGGGTTGTTGAGGGGAAGGGTAGGGGGTTGATTAGGAAAACCCAAAAAAAAAAAAATAGAACCGAACCCGGGGTTACCCGGGCCGGTTCCGGGCTTCCCCTACCTTGAACCGAGGCCCGGCCGGTTCGGACTGAACCGGGCCCGGCCCGGAACCGGTCCACCCCTAGACGATACTTGTACATTACGGAGTATGAATTTGCAACTGATAAAAAACAGGTCACAGTCACCTCACATTATAAAAGATCCAATGAGGGAGGGCCGGCAAATTAGAGGTATGTTTGATAGAAAATGAGGAAAATGGAAAGATCAAATCAAGTCCAACTATAACAAAATTAAATTCCTTTAGAAAGGTAAACATGATAATTAGCATTATCACATTACAAGGATTTTTTTTTTGACTGATCACATTACAAGGATTATGTTGCTTATTTCGAGCCTGATATTGGCAATTAGGAAACCATACACTCTAAATTATTTCAGTTTGACTTATTAGAGTGACACACAAGATCAAACTAGCTTAAACCGACCAAAGAAAAACATATCTAACAAACGGATCAAACCGAACCAGATTTTGGTAATGATAAAATCCACCTAATATCTAAAAATCTAAAATCATATCAATTCAAATCAGACCAAAGAAGACTTCATGAAATCAGACAATATCTAGATTAGTAAACTAGTAAATTCCAATCCAAATGACATTAGATCTAAACCTTTTCAAATATAGAAGGTGATTGTCATTGAGTGGAACACCTGCAAGCATATCTCACCTCCTTAGAGAAGAAAACATGAAAACTAAGACGTGATAACATTTTGATTGCAAGCAGCCAAGAGAACCCATGACCACAACTAAAATGTAACAATGCAATATCTCTTCCACATCAGTTCATTTTTAGAAGCTCTAGGTGATATAACAATGCACAGAATATGAGACGAATTCCTACTACATACTACCGTCGTGAAAATTTGGCTAACAGGTATATCACAAAGAAACAGAGCAATGCAAAAAGAACTACATGCATCACATGGTTGGATCCTTCCTGGATAATGCTCCGGTTCAGCCTCCTCATATTGTTCTTCACCCCAGCTTGAGCTTTCATAAATGTCATTTGCTGTGGCCAGGGAACAATGAATATAATATTTACAAATCACCAAGAGACCCTCCCCCACGGAAAAAAGGTATATACAAATTAGTTGTAGTAATAGCATTCGAAACCCTGACAAGCACGTATCCAAATAAATTAAAGGATTTAGTTGGTTTGCATTCCTAAAAACATACAAGTAAAACCCCGTGAACGTTTAAGCAAAGATAAGTGATATTATGGCAAGTAACTAATATCTGGTATGCAAATGCAATACTTCACGTAGTATAGGTTTTAGTAACGTAAACGTTTTAAAGCTTCTGAAGTTTTCATTAAATCATGGTTATACTTTCTCCTACTGTAAGTGGTGGTAAATTGGTAATATTTAATAATTCAAAAAACATATTTCAAATGCAGATAAATATGAATGAAATTGTTACACTGATTGATACAAACAAAGTATAGTCTCAAGGCATAATTCCAACTATCAACTAAAACATCAGAAAATGTACAGTTTTATGCAATGCATGACATACCATCTGGTTAATAAAGTCATTCTGGAATTTAGCTTCTGATTCGATCTCCTGTGCTACCTGCAATATTACAAGCAAGAAATGTGAATAGGGAAGACAAATGAACCCAAAAGGACTTCAGAGAAATACAAACGCATGATGTTGATGGTTTTGGAATTTCATCTGTATTCTTTTGTAAGAAGGTTGCGACAAGAATGGCATCTAACATAAACTTTCCCACTTTCCTTTATTGCATTAATGTAGTATTAACAAACTTTTGAAAATTGAATGCACTATACTTTTTGAGTAGTCAGTAACCCAGCCTAACTGCCTAACTATAGTTGGCATTTACTTAGTAATGTGATGACAATGATGCAGAAAGCCAGAGAGAAAAGGACTTTGACATGGGACATCATATTTCATAGCTGAACTGAAGTAGATTTATTCATAAAACATTCAAGAGTGCAGTGAAGCATATTCTAAGAAACTTAAATCAAGTGAGTAGAAATATGCGGACTATGAAATAAAATAAAATAAAAAAGAAGCCAAAGGAAGATAGGTAGAAGAGTTCTCCAATCACAAATCAAATACACGATGTATTAAGAGTTGAAAATCTTAGAAGTATTAAGAGTTGATTATTACATATTCTAATTTCTAGTAGCTTCTGATCCTAGAAATGGAATGATTTATACTTCCCCAATCACATGCCAGAATGCCCACTAATGCATAAACCCTAAATATTACTACGTATAATTCCGCACATGATTCAATGCATTCCATTCTACTGGAAATCTGGAATACGTACATTTTACTTCTCTAATTCATGGTCCTTTAAAAAAATACTGAGTATGTTTTTAACAGGAAAGTTAAAACTGAGATAATGCACAAAGCAGAAGGGAAGAGTAAATCGTAACTTGTAGGACAAATCATAAGATTCGACCAAAATGAATAAGGAGTAGACGGACAGACGGTAGACATGTGCATAAAAACTCTTCTTACAAAATGCATAGATGGGGGGGCAAACACACTCTAACTATGCAAGTATTAAAATAAATATAATAAGGTAGTCATCTCACATGTCTTTGGTCGAAACAAGTCACAAAAAAATAAAAAATAAAATAATAAACTAAATTACTACTTATGCAAAAGCTACTTCATAACGGTAAGAGGCTCAAAACACAAACCCTGCATGTCTCAGGCTCATCAAACCAGGAAGAGATCGAGGGGTGACAGCTTCCCCGGCAGTTGAAAGCTGCTTGGTTGCCTCCAGAGTGGAGACTGAAGAGGAAGGGAGTGGGATAAGAGAGGTCGATGGTTAAGATAGGGAGAGAGCGAGAGAGTCAGAGCAGAGCTTCAATGAAAAAACAACACACCTTTGAGACTTACGCCTCAGCAAAATATTAAGGCATTGTAGGCTTCAACACGTCAACCATTAGAAGCGTAAGCCTCTCTTTTTTGCAACAGCGTGCAAGCCTCAAAGCTTTTCCCCAACGAATGAAATTGAGATGAGCCTCAATACTGCCTTTTCAAACCACACTCCAAGTAACCTTATGAGTTATGACTATAAGCCAGAAATAACTCTGCATAGCAGCACTAATTTTCTTCAACCAATTGTATATGGTACATGAAGAATGTAGAGGGGCATACATGGTTCCCTTGTAAGTTCTAAGTTTCTAACTAGCCAATGAAGCAGATCATGTATAGCCAAATAGAAAAACTGTTTCTTAACCTCAATCAGCATAGCACTTCATTAGTTAACCCAGCAAGCAGCTTTTAATAAGAAACCATCCAACAAGATAGTGACAAATCAATCCATTGCCATCATTTAATGAATACCAACTATATCAAGGCATGCTGATATAGCAACACACTTGAGTACTTGACTAAGCTTGAGTAATTAGCTGAGCTACCCTTGAATCTTTTGCTAAGCACTTGTCAAACAACAGCCAAACAATTCTGAGGCCTTGCACATTTCTAATCATCTGATTCAATTTGATCAGTTCTAATAATTACACAAATAACACGACCCTCTCTGATTAAGCAAAGCAAGAGGAATGAAAGAAAAACAAGGATTCATATCACACCAAAAAGTAGAAGGAAACCTCGACCTAACAACATATTGGATATCTACTAACTGAAGTGGACAGCCATTTTACTTCACGTAAAGGCAGTTAAAAATAATGGAAATCAAATTTGCACAATTGACAAAATCTAAAAGATATTGGGGTACATTTTTTAGCTGTTTCACTTGCTTGCGAAGACCAGTGATCTCTTCATCCAAGTCTCCGTGCATGGGATCGATACGCAACTGTATGTCATCTGAACCTCCAACTTGTCTTGTGCTCAATCCTTGTCTGTACAGATTCAGCGGAAATTACACAAAACTGATCAGCGCACGTTTCGAATTCAAAGTTCGCACTCACGCCTCAGGATTCATTACGCTTGGGTAAGACTAAAGGTGAAAATTTTGATTGAGAAACATAACTAGTAACTAGAGAAGATCGTTGATTTATGCTTACCTTGACCGAAATGGGTCGGCACCATAGAAATCACCCCCTCTATGAGAACTTGAAGCCATTCACCCAATACAAGTGTCTTTGAAATTCGATTGACAGTCCTTGTATAGTTGTTACGGAGTATAACTTTGGGACTCTCTTCCTTAATTCTTTTTCCCTTTTTCCCGCAGAACAAAATCAGTGCAAATATAGGAGCAGAATAGCAGATATGCCTCTATTTCATGTCTAGGAGCAAAATTTATGCTCATTAATTTAAATTTAAATTAAATAATAGAGAGAATTTGATTTAGCATTCCATATTTTAAATGATATTGAATTTTGTATTCTATTTTTTAAAAATTTGAGTGGACATCCCATTTTACTAAAAATGTTTTAAATTTGTACTTAATTCGGACATTTTTCTTAAAATGATACTCCGTATATGATGAGATTCAAAATCAGTTTTTTTCAAAATAGGGTGCAAATATCTATTAAAAATGTAAAAATAATGAATATATTGTGTTTGGAGATTGAAACATATTTTATTTTTGAAAATCCATTTTGTGTTCTTTTTTATGAGGCACTAAGTTTTTTATGTAAATTTATTTAGGAAAAATTGAAAATAATAATCCCAACTATTACCGGTCCGCTGAAAATAATCTCAACTATTGATTATTTTTGTATAATCCCAACTATATAGGCTATCCGCCAATAATGGTCCATAACCATATATTACCTCTATAAAAAGTGAATTTTAAATAGAAATTAAGCGTAAAAATTAAAAGTTGAGATTATTTATAAGGATTACTTGTTATATCTCATCTCATCCACTTTAGAAACTAGAAGAATTTATTCATAGGGACCATTATTGGCGGAAGGTTCCTAAAGTTGGGATTATTCTGTAATAATCAATAGTTGGGATTATTATGAGCGGACCGCCAATAGTTGGGATTATGACTATCAATTTTTCCATTTATTTATGGGTGTGACATTATGTTTTTTGGGGCTTAACATGTGTTTTATAATTTTAGTTGAGGAATAGATTAGACCACTGTCTAATTAAAATTAAGAATATCCTAATTATATGAAAAAAATAACTAAATTGTAATTTATAGTAACTTCGAAGAGGTGGTACTGATTCAAGTATGCATCGACGGACTCCCATCGGCTGGGACGAAGCTTCCCAACATAGGTTATGTTTGGAAGGTATGAGTATGTCTTGTAAGTTTGGTACTATTTAAAAAGTTTCTAAAAGTTACTTTGAAGGGGTGTGAGGTAAGCACCCCAAACTTGCATATGTAATTTAAATATCCTAAACTTTATATAAAAAGTTACTTTAGCACCATGGCCATGCATTATTTCTTTCAAAAATGTTAATTTTTAAGGTTAATTTCATAATTTAAAATATTTTAGCATTCATGAAGATACAATTCACATTCTAAACTTCAATTGCAAAATAAATAATACTACCCCCACTCTATATAATTGGTGCATTTTTAATTTTTTATTCTAAATTATGCAATTAGCAATATGAATCTACATTTTTGAAAAAAATAATATACAACCATGGTGCTAAAATAACTTTTTATATAAAGTTTAGGGTATTTAAATTACATACAAAAGTTTGGGGTATTTATCTCACACCTCTTCAAAGTTTAGGGTATTTTAATTATTTTTCCCTTAATTTTATGTTTGAAATTTTAAGAATTTTTTTTAAAATTAAAAAATCTTTTTTGAAATACTATAGAGAGAAAAGTTAGTGACTTTTAGTACTACGTATTAATGAGTCCCAACAGCTTGTACATCAAACAGAACTAAATCAAACAGTCAATTTTTTATCAAACAACTACCACCATTTACTTTTAAAATCTTTTAAGTCATTAAAAGTTAACCATTACTAAAAAAATCTATAAAAGTATGGTTGTGCCAAAAATACCCGCCCATACACGACTTAGAGTCCGTTTGATAGTACGAAAATCAGCTTATTTGACTGATTCTACTGAAATTTATGAAATTCTAGCTGAAGTGGTTGTATTGGCTGATTTAAGAAAAAATTATTTTCAAAATATATTTTATTAATAAAACAAGGAAAAATTACATGTAAAAATAACTAAAATGGTTATTTACAGTAATTTTAATTAATAAAACTAGAAAAGTAACTCTAACTTTACAAAATTACTTTGTGTGCTTATTCACAATTCAGTCCGGAAAATAAAGGTTAAATATTTGGCTGCAGAAAAATCAAACGGCCTCTTATGCCGTCGATGAAGAAACCCGCGACAGAGGAATTAAGGGACTCTCGGTTCTGTACTCAATCAGTTTAATCTCAGAGGCGGCTTATTCGAAATCTCCATTACAGGTTCTTTAATAAATTAATCTGTATTATTTCACTTCCTATGAGCTTTTCTTCTTTCAATATTCAGACTCCCATTTTTTTCCCTTGTTTTTAAACCGATTTTTTTTGCTAAATACTCGCTTGTTGATAATTTTTTAATTGTATACTCTTTGGATTTGTAGTGACTCGTGAAGGTTAGCATTCTTAAAATTAAGTTCATAATGGAATGTCATAATATCAATATGGTAATTAGCTGCTAGTATAGGTAGTTACTGTGAAATTTCATTTCTATAATTAGATATGACTTTAGCTAGTTGTCTTCCAGTTAGTCGTAATTAAAAATCATTCAAGTTTTATTTTTTCTTTTGGTTGACATTTCAAGTAGATAGAAATAGTGCCCTGTTGTATAGTCTTTTATAAATCTCTGGTTAATATTAGACTTTAGACTATTGGAGAGTTGTGGAAATAAAAAGCCTTCTTTGCACAAGTTTCTTAGATGCACAACTTCTAGTTTAAATACACATTAGATGCACAAAACCCTGCACAAAACCCAGCTTACAATGACTAATGCTGAGTGTAAGAAACTAAGAACTTACTGACAATAGAATACACAAAAAGATAATTAATAACCTAATATATGTGTTTAGGACCTTTAGATTGACTATGCAGCCTACTACTATGTCGCATTGATTGAGGAATGAAATTTACAGCAGGGAGCCAGACATTATGTGTTAGAGGGGCCACAGTTTACAAATATTAATTATACATGATCATTTTTGGATAGATTACTGGTGTAAGTGTACCACTAGGGCCTAGGGGTTGTGCATCTCAATAATTCCTTTTATTAAGAGCCAGTTTCTTATTGTTTATTCTTTTTTCTTTGCAGCTTCAATGAGGAATATTGATGATTTGTTAGAACTTGAAACTTAAAAGTGCTATTTTCTTTTAGTTTTTGTTGGGAGGAGCATTGGTGATTGATTTCAATCTTAAATTTGATTCTTGTTCTATGAATATAGACTATCAGACTGTGTGTATCTACTTTTACCAGGATATTTGTTTGGTGACTGTTGCAGATTTATTAGAATTTTGCTTTTTTTTAAAGGGATTTGAGCTGTGTTCAAATTTGCAATTGCTTGGATTAGGATGAATTTTTTACTGGCTTTGTTTGAAACAAAAGTTTAGTAGTTTCTTGTAGAAATTTATTGATTCTGTTTTCTTGGATTCATTTGGGCTTGTTTGATAGTTTCTTTAACTGGTTTATATTTATAAGGATAGTACAAGTCTGAACTACATTAGTGTTTTGTTTTCTTCAGTGCTTTATCTTGGCTATTGTAGTCTTGTAGGCCATTATTGATCTAATGTTAAGGTTAAAAGTGGTAAACCTAAAAATCATTAAGTGATGAAAAAGAACCAAAACCCCAGACCGAACCGACTCGTTTCAAACTGGGCGGGTAAGATCCGGTTCCTATAAGGGGAATTGATGTACCAGGCCGGATCTACCGTGTTAGTTGAACTGGCGGTTCTTAATTTTTTTTTGCAGATAACCCGCCCCTACCCAGCACGTTCCCATCCCTAATGTGAAAGTGGGGTTTACTTTGTCCATCTTTAAGTACAGAGTTAAAGCAGCAAGTTAAGTTATTTGTTTTTTATTGTGGCATGCAGATTTTTCAGCACCATTATGGGTGCAAACAGGCATCGAACTAGCAGTTTCTCTCGTAACATTGCTGCTCCTGTGGCACCTATTCCTGGAGTTAAACATGGTCTCAATGGAGCTATGTTTCTTTCATCTGGCATATGTGATCTCGATAGTAATTTCAAACCCATATTTTTTCCTTTTACCATTTCAAAGTAGTCATACATAGAAAATAGAATACTGTATATACAACTAGTTGGGACTTGGGAAGGAAGTTGATAACTGATCGCTTACTTCTGTATTTTATTGTTACACTAGGGATTTTGGGTGGTGGGTTCTCGATGGGGAGCCTTGTGTTGGTGATGGAGGACCTTGAGGCACCTCATCATATGCTTTTGTTGAGAAATTTCATGTCTCAGGGTATTGTTCTCAAACAGCCACTGCTTTATGCCAGTCCTGAAAGGGATCCCCGTGTTTTTCTTGGTACTTTGCCAAGTCCAATGCCTTCCAAGGACGACAAATCCCTAGAGAGGGACGTAGAACAGGTTTTCTACCTTGTTTTTTACACTAAATGTACAATTTTTTCCCATGCCAGTTATTAAAATAGGTGGAAAAGTTTCTCAAATACTAAATACACATGGAAATCACAGGACAAGGGTTTACGGATCGCTTGGCAATACAAAAAGTATTTTGGGGATCATAGTTCAGATGGTCAGCAAGGTAAAATTGGTTGAACAACAATTGCTATTTCCACATCTCTTTATATGCCTTTATCTTTTATCATGAGAAACTTTTTCTCATTTGAGCTAGTTTCATGCAAGCAGTTGTGAGTTGCCAAAACGCAAAAAATAAGATTTGACATGCTTCATTTAAACAATATGTAATTCTCAATATTACAAAGTAGTATGCTGTTATTGTTATTACAGTTTATTGGCATAATTCATGCTTTCTGGTATGAGCTCCCTGGTTTGCATGTTGGACTGTTGGTTTTGCAATATCATTCATCTAGTGGACATAACAATAGAAAATATCTCAACTCCTCATTTTATCATGATAATCTCCATGCATGTGGAAGTAATTTGTGAGGATGATGTTTAAGAATTTTCATCTCATTATTCCTTATTAAGAAGGTGTGATGGCATGGGCATCTGGCTTGCATTTCCACTATGGTTTATTGCATGAGTTTATAGTACTATGCAGCTTTGGGTACTTTGTTTAATTGACACTATAAGTTTAATGCCACTGACCCCAATTAGTTGGGTACTTTGGGTTATGGTTCTGATAATGATAGTGATGGTTATATTTATACTTTTTATTGGGAGTAGTTTGTACTTTTTATGGTGTGCTGGAGTCTGTGTATCAATTAAGAATATAACTGTATGCCTAGTTTTCTTGCTTTCCATTGAGTTGCCCTCACTCTATCTTATCAAACAGATGCTGCAGTACTCCTGAGATTTATCTTATTCTATTTGGGGTGAGAAACTATGAACACCCGTAAACATATTGTAATTGCATGTGAAGAGAAGCTAGTCTACTGTGTCATGCAGGTGGGAGAGATGAATATTGCAATGACTTTGACCTGCGAAAGCCATTGGAGCGGCATTTCCTTACTGGGCCACACATTGATTGCTTTAGTCTTCAGGGTTTTCCCAATCTAGACCCTCTTCGTCAGACTTGCTCAAAATTCTTTGCACAAATTCCAAGGTATCAGCATGCTTTTATTTCCGCTTTCGCTCATATGTTTAGGCTTCTCATATGTTTAGGCTTCTCATTGACGGGATTAGTCGTTCATGAGTCATGACCAGTGAATGAATATGGTGCTGCATGTGCCTAGATATTATAGTAGGAAAAAGTTGTTCAGTGGCTAAATAAACAGTGATAGGGTTGTGTTAAATCTTATCTCTTCTAGTTTAAGATTTTAAAATGTGTTAAAAGCTTCAGAAGCAATGCTTGTTGAGGATTTTTGTGCTATCAAATGACATGGGATAAGAACTAAACTTCATTAGGACTAAAAATCTTCGGTAAGATAGGGTGCAAACACTCATCTTATGCACAGATTTCCATGTCCATTTAAGGTACTCCCTCTGTCCCAATTTAAGGTTTCCACTTCACTCTTTTTTAGACCTTCAGGTTTCCACTTTCCTTTTCGGGAAAATAGTAAGGTGTTCAATGGTAACTTTATCATCACATCGTTAAATAAGTACATTCATAGTAACACCATTTTTCATGAATTACTCCTCCAAATTATACTCCCGCCCATACAACTATATACTTTGATTATTTACCTTTTTAAATCTTTCTCTTTCGTATGTTCTATGCTCAAACTATTTTATTTAACCACTTGCCTTAAGAACACCCCCTTTTGCACAAGTACTAAAAAACCGAACCTTTCTTTGTAGAAGTGACAGAAACGGCAGTGTATGTTTCTACACTTTATTATCGTTTGCTTAGGGAGGAAAAATGGTTATGTATTTTATGACTGATTGCAATGCTACTTTTTTTGTTTCCAGATATGATGGCAACATGGCTTACCCGGGTAGAATTGCCATTCAGTCACTATGTGCTCCTCAGTGTGAGTTTTCCAACAATGTTAGTAACAATTGGCCATTCTCAACTTTAATTTGTTACTTCTTTTTGGTTTGTTATTGATGTAATGTTTTTGTTCAAAGTGAAATTACTTTCAGTTTTTCAAAGATCTTTGAAATGCTGCTTTTACCGAGTGCAGGAGTGGGATATACTTTCCTTCATCAGATCTTTGAAATGCATGATAAGGTCCTCAAATTCAGTAGCAGTCGTAACTGTTCCTTCTTCTCTTATTTCACCAACCTTCTTGAAGAGGTTGCAGCATCTAGCTGACACTTTGATATCCGTTCAACCAATTCCAGGTGTGTCTCTACTATTATTTGAATGCTGCTGTGTTAATGTATGTATGTGTGTGTGTGTGTGTATATATATAACTCATGATGCTTGGATCAGACGAGGACAAGGAGTTGGCAAAGCTTCTGACAGGTTACCAGGACATGCTTGGCCTTCTCAATATGCACAAGGTGGGACGTCATAATACGCAGGTGTGTGCTTTGACCTCTCAACTAGATAGCTAGCTCTTCACGTATCTATCACCTGTCCAATTAATACAAACCTTTCAACAGGTTCCTGTGGTTCTTGAGGCAACCACATTCTCGATTAAGCTCCACAAGCGACGGTCATTGGTTTTGGAGTGTCTAAATCAAGCCCCTGTTGATGGTTCAAGTGGGACTTCATATGGTTCGGTAGGTAGTTGCTCCGGGAGTTCCCAAACAGGGCCCTTGGACTTTTAGTTGCTTCTACATGGTGCCTGCCTACTGTCAATTTTCAGGAGCGTGAACATATTTAAGTTAATACATCATGTAATGGTCAAACGTCTGATTTTGTAACACATCATAGGTGATCTGATCTTATTTAGGGATGACGTGTCGTTCCCAAGGGGCGACCGGCTTAGTTGATACTCATTACTCATCATTGCATCGTCTTTGCTATTTGCGGAAGTGTCATTGAGAACATTTGATGTACATCAGTTAGATTTGAAGTGAAGTTTATATAAACAAACTAACGATGAACATTAATTACATAAGAAAGTTATCCAGAACAAGCGATCTTAAAAGTGAAAACATTTAAACTTTAATCCGTCTCATGTATGTTACTCATATTTTCACCTCCTCAACTCCTCTCAATATATAGACTATTCTTCAAAATTGTGCTGATGAGTTTTTTACTTTTTACTTCATTAGACAATAATTTGAAGTTAAATGATATAAATATTGATATGATGGTAAATAGTAGATATAATTAAAGCTGAATTAGGTAATTATGACATGATCTCAAGGTGGTAAAAGCAAATTAGCCTTAGGGGTAGGGTTGATGGTGAAGAGGATGCCCTGTGATTAGGAGATTTTGGCCTTCTCTTAGGGCTGAGGTGGAAGGATGCCTTTGAGGTGGAGAGTCACTTTAAGAGTTTAAGGGTTATTCCATTATGGACGATGGTCCTATGATTAAAGGAGTTAACAAATGGTAAATTTATGAGCTGGGAAAATATGAACAGCGTGAAAGGTTAAATCGTGACATTGCTTAGCAAATATGTGAAATATTTTCTAATATTTGTGTTTTTATTTGCTATCAACACCATGTCTAATTCATTCATTTTTTAAACAAACTCCTCACAATCGACATGAACGAACGGAAATGTTGAATGACCAACTCTTGTAAGAAAATGATTCAAACAAGACCAAAACATGTTGAATTAAGTGAAAAAATAGGATGAAATTGTTTCTATGTCATTTGTAGGAGTAAATGCGAGATCAAATTTAAAATATATTCTTAATTAAAAATGATCATGTGTAATTCTAGCCAAGCGAGAGTGCCACTGCGAAACAAGAATGTCATCATGAAAACATTATAACACCATTGCCAAGTCTTAATGAGATCGTTTTGTGAAATTACATATCAAGTCAAATTGTCATCCTCAAGCAATAATGTCATCTTGAAAACAAAAAAAATGTTATCACGATGGTCATTTTATTGGCGCATTGACTTGGTGAAAACCACTAATAGAAATGTCAACTTGACGGTTTATGTACAAAACAACGGGAATTAAGTTGAACAATGTAATTGAAAAAAATGATCCCAACTTGTAATAAAATGTCCCCTTAATTTCTAAGATACAAAAAGTGCCATAAAGTATCAACCATAGCAAGAGAATTAACTTAAACATGAATATGCTACGTACTACACAAATGTGTCAAACTTTTAATACTAGCATATAATGCAATAAAGTATACACTCATTTTGAATTTTTGATTAGTTTAGTTTTATCTATGGCAAAGTCTTATAAACCGAATATAAGGATATAAATGGGTAGTGATACAAATATCTTCAAAATATTGGGCCAGTTTTAAATTACTCATCAGTTGAGTTTTATCTTATGAGTAAGTAGCAATAACAGTCATCCACAACTTGAGAGAGAGGAGAGGAAGAGCCCTGACAATGGCGACATGCGCGATCAATTCAGTATCTTCAGCGGCATGGAGTATGAGTTCTCTAAGATCAACTCTTCCTTGTATCCAACCGCCGTCAGCCTCCTCAACCCGCTTCCCAGCTCGGTCTTCTCCATCTCGACTGAAGCTCTCCCGATCCAGTCCACAGCCAGTGATTCCTCACTCTTTCGTAGGACTTGCCCCATTTCAACCGCTTCTATCTCTTTTTCCTCAAGGTAAATTGTCACCACTCGTTGATATGCGGATTACGCGATGTTTTATGCTGTTCCTGAGCAATTAAATTGGTTATTGACTTATTCTATAGTTTATTTTGTCTAATGTTTTTTTGGGTTCGAATCTGCTATTTTGTCCAACCGAGAGGCCATAATTGTAGTTATGGACTTATGGAGAGCTTTTCGATTATTATTTTTAACTAATTATTGGAAGTGATTGCTCAATTTCATAGTGCCAATGGTGTTATAGGAGAAAGCGTTGTTAGGGATTTTTCATTTCGGCTCCAGTTGTTGGTAACTATTTCTAAAAGGCATAATGAAGTGATAAACAGTAAAATTTCAAATAGCAATGAATCTTTGTGCTGTACAATTTCACCTTATGTGCAGTTGAATTTTTATATTATGAATACTTTGAGGTCATGCCTCTTTTGGTTTATTTTCATTTTATCAGATAAAATGATCTTATTTGAGTTATTTCCGTGTCTATTGGACTGAATGAGCTTGTCTTGATCACTGAGTAAAAGGTGCTTTGTTTTCTATCCCACCCCGTTTGTTTTCTGTTAATGGGCTAGTTTTGCCATCAATCACTTTTAATTTTCACTTGAAGATGCCAAGTAATGTTTAGCTGCCAAAGTGCCAAGTAATGTATCTCTGCTGGCTTCGCTATCACTAGCCTCAGCTCAAAATATGCTTCTGCGTGTCTTGCAGATTCAACAAGTTCTGAGAACTTATTAACTGTGATGGGCAATGGATTCCGAGTCTTTGCGATGAGACATGGGAGGAGAGTGCCTAAACTGAACAGACCCCCTGACCAGCGACGGGCACTCTTGCGGGGCCTCACGACTCAGCTTCTCAAACATGGGCGCATTATGACGACCAGAGCGAGAGCCAAAGCAATGAGAAAGTATGTTGACCATATGATTACTTTGGCGAAGGAAGGCTCTCTTCACAAACGAAGGCAAGCCCTTGGCTTCATCTATGAGAAAGAATTGGTGCATGCCTTGTTTGCCGAGGTCCAAGAGAGATACGGGGAGAGAAATGGCGGATACACAAGGATACTTAGAACCTTCCCTCGGCGGGGGGACAATGCACCTATGGCCTATATTGAGCTTGTCTAGTGATAAATTGTTGATCTTGATGCCTTTCACTTATATTATCAACACAGTTGAATTTATGTCAATTTTTTGGTGGTGCACACTTTTTCTTAGTTTGTCACTTTAAATGTCGCAAGGGTGATACACTGAGCGTCTGAGCTCCTTGATGATAGTCACGGTATTGTGAGTGGTAGATAACTACAAATTTGGTATCTAGTAAGTGGGAGTGGTCTAAGGGATCACTTCACACACTCCCGATTCTCTCCTTGTGGGAGCTCTTAAATTTAAGTCATGAGAATTTGAGACTTTTCTATTCTTTAACCCCACGGGCCACGGTTAGTTAGAGTGGTGGCGCATTTAGTGTTTCATCACGTCTCGAGGGTTAGCTTGTGGTGGAGATCTGGGCACACACTATTAAGGAGTGTTTGCAAAATTTTAAAAAATATTTTCCAGCTTTTGACTTTAAAAAGTCTTAAGAGTATGTTTTCAAGTGAGGATTTAAAAGTTAATTGCTCGATGCAAATTGATAGGTGCTTCATTTTACTTTTCTATTACACAAAAAATCACTTTTTACTCAATGTTATTAGCTTTTAATTTTTCAAAAGTAGTATCAAACGCTATTAATTTTTACTATTAAACATTTTCTCTAAAATCACTTTTTAATGTAGAGGGCAAAATTCTCTTAATCACTTGAGAACAATTTTTTATGTGTGGTGGTGTACATATACAATGAACATTTGCTAATTGTTTGAGTGAATCAGATTTATTTTTCTGAAAGGCTTGGGGTGGGTACTTAAGAGCTCGTGGTCAGTCCATAAAGTCAGGATCACATGATGCTAAAAAAAAATAAAACAGAAACAAAAAAAATGTCCTGATAGATTATGCGAGTGTTTATGCGGCCCTACTTAGTTTTTTTTTCAATTTTGTGTAAATTAGAACTTCAGAATTATGCTTTTCTTTTCGTTTTTCTAAATCATTGGGTACTTTCAAAAAAATCATTGGATGAAAATGCACGACTGGCCATTCCATTAGCTTTTCTCATTTGTATAAGAAACTTAAAATACATGATAATAAAGTGATTCATAGATGAATTCAGGTTCATACAACTTTTCTCATCTTTTCTTTGTTGAGCACACCATTCTATACTATCAAATTGTGCAAAGAGCATTTTTTTTCTCGTATTAATTTTTTATTAATTTTGATTAGAGTTTATTTCAAAGCATTTGGAATATGATACCCGGACGCCGGAGGCGGTTGATGAATCTGAGTAAGACCAAGGATAGTAGAAGAGTAATTATTATAAGGAAAATTCTATGGTTCATGTATTAATTTTCAGGATACGGTACATTTGCTTGTTTGGACAAATAAGGCAAGAACACGTGTATATATATTAAAACATATAGAAAAGTGTCAAATAAGTCCACCTACTATTATGAAAAAGTCAATTGAGTTCACGCACTATTTATTCAATCAATTAAGTCCACCAAGTATCAAAAAATGACCAAATTTGATTTTCCTCCGGTAGTTGACCGGTTTCCCCTGTTAAATGGCCTATGTGGATCATCCACGTGGCTTTTTCCCTTAAGCGCTTATTTGGCTGTCCATGTGACTTTAAAATATCTTTTTCCTTTTTTATTAAATGTTTTCTTCTTCTTCATTCTACCCATCCCTGCAACTCTTCTCCCCATTTTCTTCTTTCCGTTTTTTTATTTCTTCTCTTTTCTTTCTTTATTCTCCTCTCTTTTTCCTTCTTCCCTCTCTAGCTTTCCATCTTCCACCACTGTCGACCTCTGCCGCCACCATCTCCGTCGATCTCTTCCGTCGCCGTCGAATTCTGCCGCCGCCTTCGACCTCTGCCGCCGCCGTCGCCTTCTGTTTCACTGCCTGGTTTCCATTGAAGAAGAGGAAGGGTCGCCATCGGATTGTCGGCTCTATCCGTCCAAAATCAACGTGTTGACCGTGTTACTCTCAGGTTGACCTCATTGATCATCTAGCTCCGGGAATTGACCTGTAGAATAATCACTAAAAGAAACTAAAAAATATATTAGTGGCTCGAGACGCGTCAGACGCTGTCCTAAGGAATTATTTCCGGCGTTCGGAAATTTCCCCCAAGATATAACGAGCCCTTCGGTACAAGACCGGTAACAGAACTAACGAGAAGAAAATTAGTATATGAACCCAGCAATAAAATATTTTTATGTTATTTATATACTCCGTATATAATAAGGACCATGTATTTTCCAAATATCATGAAGCTAACTCTTCTCACATTTGAGCTCTTCTGATCACATAGGAGGCACACACACAAGTATATATTTATAAATCATGTATTCCACTCCCAAAGCTCTCTCCATTCCAGCATACATATATGAGTATATATTTACACACGTGTTACTCTTTTGATGCATAGCAGCATAGGTATATATATACAATTCATATACATTGCAAAAGTTAAAACACTTATACGTTACTCATTAAAAGTTAATGCACAATAAGTTTTAAAAATGTTAGTGACGATAGGATAAAAACCTTTACATTGCCATATATTAATTAATAGTGTTTGATATTATGAATTTATGATGACTTTCCGTTAGAGAACATTGCCAACCATGAGAAGCCTAGCTTAAAATTTGATTCATTCTTTTTAATGTGGAGAAGAAAAATCTTGTAAGCCATGATAAGTAATTTTAGGACTATAGAAATAAGGGATAAAATAGACTTTAAAGTCGTGATAAAATTTCTCAGAAAATAATTAAAAACTTATTCATTTGAAATACTCCAAAATTTCCAACAATCCCCCACATATTTCAAATGAATATTTTAACTATATAAAATAGCAATTCCTTACTGGGTTCATATATGGGGTGAGGTTTTTCAATCTGGTGTCGCGTAGACTTGAACCAGACCTAGACGCCTAAGTCTTTAAATACCGAGTTTATTGGTGAAACGTATAGTTTCTATGAACCAATAATCTACTTTGGTAAGTCAGTGTCTTAGGGGATCATTTTTCACCCCCACCTTTCTCGTCGTTGACGCCGTTGTGCACCTCTAGGCCGTGCGCGTGCTTGGTTTTCTTGAGTGCTCTAGAAGCGTTGTCAATACTTCATAGAAGCGGCCCCACCTCACACTCATATAGGTGACTTCATCAAGTGTGTCCCGCACTTAACACACCACCCGTAAGGGCTATGACAGTCATTAAGAGTTTTAACTCAACCTCACAAAGAGATGCAGTCTAGCCTTCCACATCATAGAAATGGACATTTTACAAGGCTAGCAGAACAAATAGAAGACTTGTTATTACCCATATGAACTTGCTTCATGGGATCTCCAATCACACAAGTTGGGTTCCCATCCCTATTTGTTATCAAAGTGACATTAGTCCATTTCCCTCGATGTTTAAATTTATCATTTAACGTCCTAGGGATTCTATCAAAAGGAGTAGCTAATTCCTTTTAACTTCACAAAATTAATGGAACAATTCCATTCTCAAACATCATTGCACCACTTTTAAGGGTGAATGGATATTCACTATTTTATCTCATGTGAGTCGACTCATATTACGTCGTTGTATCCCGGCAATACAACGGATAACTCTTAACAAAATATACATCGATGTGACACTTTTGTACATCGGATAATTTCACTAATATGTTATATCCTAACGGATGATTCTCAATGAAATATATATCATCATTGTATCATTATAGTACAATGGATAATTCTCATATATAACATCGTTGTACCTTTCTAGTACAACGGATATTTCTCAATTAAACATATCATCGTCGTATCAACATATTACAACGGATAATCTGAACCATAATTAATGATACCTCTCGCATATCTCAATAACTTAAGGTATCCCAACCATCACATTTGGATTTCATACATTGGTTAAAAATAATCACTAATACACCACTTAATGTATACACATTTTTTTTTCAAAAAAAAAATTATCACATTAATCTCAAATATATTATAGTTTAAAGTATTGCATACTAGCAGATTAATTCTTCAATTTAAGAAAACCGTGTATATGCTCCACTATTTCATCTTATGTAAAAGCATCCAAAAGTTGCAAAACTCATTTTTACTCAATGAGATAGGTAGTAAAAATTTAGCTAAACACCCCCACAATTTTAATTATTCCAAACCAAGTGCATAACTCTTCTAAAATTCAATAATATCTATTTTATGAAGATAATTTCTAGCTCAACTTTTATTTGCACACCAAGATTTTACCATAGCTCACCTTTAAATTTAAAGAACATATTAAAATTTAGTGTATATAAAAAATCATCATTATAATGTATATAACATCATCATACCATTATAGTATGAAGGATAACACTCAAATATAACATCGTCGTATCGCTCTAGTACAACGGATAATTCTCGATAAATTGTGTCATCGTTATACTCATTTAGTACAACGGAAAACTTGATAGAATATATATGACATCATTGTATCGTAATAATACAATGGATAACTCTCAATAAATTATTCCATCATTGTATTTCGTTAATACAATTGTTGTTTAGCTCACCAAATACATTTTTGTTTTTTCGAGTTCATCACAATCTTCCGACAATTTTGCCGGATCTCACATAGTGTGTTAAGTTTAATAAATTCACACTTTGAGCATCAAGATAAATTTCTATAAAATGAACAATATCAAACTACAAAATTATCCTTAAATCCAACTCAATATATCTCCACGCTCAATTAATAATAAAATTGACACATATTATTTGCATCCACAATTTTTGAATTTCACTACAAATCAATTAATACCCAGTATAATATACTATGCATCTAAAAGCACACCACACACATGCACAACAATTATTGTATTTAAAATTCCCCCACATTTTGAATATTTGAAAAAAAAATTAGGCTCATAGACAATTCTCATATAAAAGAAATGGTCCATAACATTTTTTTTTTAAGAAAAATTTAATACACAGTAATTATAATAAATTTATAATGTTGGGAATACATGAAGTTCAATTCTAACTTTTAAGCACCGGGCAAGTTTTTCGTATGAATAGCTTTAAACTTCGGTCATTTAGCTATTCACATTAACATTACATGACACTGCGTAAGAAGTAATATGCCACATATTAAAAATATCAAGCAAATTGAAAAGAGTATAAATTCACTCAGTAATTTTAAAATATTTGGCACACAAAATTCATGATTACAATAACTTTGTCTCAAAATTTACTCATTGTTTTCCATTAGTCAAAACCACATTTTTTTTTCAAAAGGGAAACATAAACTGAAATAAATCAAAACTCGGACACTTGGAATACGTTAT